AAAAAAAAAAAAAAAAGTGAAATTGAGCGAAAAGAGTGTAAAACTCAGTGAAAGTGCAAAAAATCATTACTATTGTTATAATTATTTGTTATTATCACCACCAATAAAAAAATACTAACCTGTGTAAAAAAGTTTTTTAGCCCATCAATTCTGTGTATGACGATGAAGGGCTAAAAAATGCATGTAAAAATGAAGTTCACTGAAAAGATTTGGCCAAGGCTGCTTAACTGTGGCCAGGAGGCAGCAAATTTCACTTGCTTCCTTTGTTGGAAACTTAGTACGCCAACACTGCATCTCTGTGTTATCCAGTGATCCTCTTTGACGTACTAGGACAGTGTGGCTGAGAATATTGCTTTTAAACACTAATGCACAAATACAACACATTTTCCCAAGGAAATTTTTCCAGAAAAACTATACCCGGCTTTATGCTTGACACGTTTAGGTCCCCGGAGCGGTACGAATGCACTCCCAAAATTAGGTGCGCTCAATAATCCTTGAAAGCAGAAAGAGCAGAAAATTACTGTTGTACATCACAGGCAAACTGCAAAATTTCAGTTGGGTACCACCCTGGATCAGCCTCTGACAGGAGAAATCGAATAGCGGTTTTGATGTCTTTTCTGGAAGTTTTATGCAGCTCCTCTCCAGAGCCCCATTTTTAGCCGTGAACAAATACCTTGCTATTTGTTTTTTGACGCAATTTAGCATTTCAAATTAATTTCGCCATTTTCCAGCCTGGCTTTCAGAATTTTTTGGTTTGATTTTGCGCTTTTTGGTTGAATTTGTACAACCTTCTGAGAATGATTTTCGCACTCTTCTGGATGAATTTTTTCATTTATTTTCTTAATTTTTTGCATGTTTTTTCCTAAACGAAATACCTGGATTAAATTGTTTAGTTTTTTATTTGACCAAAAAATGCGCGCCAAAGGTATTGACATTGACCGTTTCCGTCAGATTTCCTAGCAGATTGCCGGTTTCTGTTTGGCTAGCTATGTTCGTTTGTAAATATTTGATTGCTCCTCACATACGCAGACGTTATTTAATTGCTTTAATATTGAACGGTTGCAATTTCGCCATCACGCCAATTTTGCTTTTTGGCCTTACAAGCTGTTTCGTACTAGCTTTCATAATTGAGGGTCTGACGTAAAATACGGGCTGAGACAGGCGGAGGAGGGCAAAGGCATGCTACACACAATCATATTCCTCGTTCTATCAAGTTCGCTCTCCACTTTGTGTAATGCCTTTCCAGTGTTTCAAAATTGCTTTTTTCCAGTGGCAGATTCGGATTTTCGGATGAGCTGAGAGCCGCACTCCCATCAGAAAAACCCGAATCCAATGGCGGATTCGGATTTTCGGATGAGCTGAGAGCTGCTGATACTGGTGCATTTTAGAATACAACTTACTAAGTGGCAGATGGTGCGAACGTATCAATGGAACCCGTCAACACAATCACGCAGACTGTTCCCAGGAAACAATGACGATGATGGACAACATTCAACTGGCCGCAGTTTCTCGTCCGTTCCATCAAATTTAAATCAGCACATTCCAAACTTCGAATTAAATCATGGGAACGGTCAGCTAGCAACAACAACAGCAACAACAACGTCGCTGATGTCAACAAGCTTGCCAAAGAACGTTGTGCAGAATGTTCAAGTGGAGGAAAGCTTCCTTGCCGGCTACAAGCACCACCAGCCTCCGATCGCTGAACCATGGTTATTGCACCAGAACAATTTACTTCCCGCACAAGTTCCAGGAGAAGGAGCAACCAACCAACAGCATCAACCCTATAAGCTAGCAGCCATCGGACTCTCTTACTTCCCATGTCCACCTCAGCATCAGTTCATATGCGGTCAAAGCACCGCACCAGTTAGGCCACTTGGCAGTTGGCAACTTAGGCCTGTACAAATTGGCGACAAAATTTACTATGAACCAATGGAGAGCAGTCACAGCGTTCCAGCTGTAGCTGCTTCTACGAGTTCAGTTGCTTTCCCGAATAATCTGCTGTTTCAAAATGTATGTTTAACTGAGTTTGAGTCCTAATTTGGTTTTTTTTTTTAAGTCACCGACCTACGAATGGATTTTTTCATGAGAGCTGATTGATGTTAAGTGCATGATCTAAAACTAAACAGTTTCTTGTTTTGTGTGACACTATTTCCAAATTCAACAACGTAATTCTGAAAATTTTATGGATGTTTCCGAAAATTCTAAATCGTTTCAGTCTGACAAGTTTTTCCAGGATTGCTTCTCAGGTTTGTCAGATGCTGCTGTCTCGCTGCGCATCATCAACGACAATCCACAAAATGGAAAGCAAGTGATGCACACTGTCGTTCCTGATGTCCAACAGTTCAGACCTATTGAGTAAATCGTTGTCGATAGTTGTATAATTTAAAAACAAATTACTCCAGCTTATCTCGTTGGTGCACATCCGTTTTCTTCAGTTTTCTGCCTAAGTAAAAAAAACCTTTGGCAAGATTCATGTGAATGTGTTTACTTATCCATAATTTAGCCCTATAATGAAATTTTAGTTATCCAGCTCATTTGTGAAATATTCTATTTCACTGTCTTTTAAGAATCTTGACAGTGAGCTATTTTCAGCATCTCTCGCTCGATAGACGTGCCTTGGGCGCGTAACAATTTGCAGCCGAAGAGTGATAATTATAGCGCTAGTTCTAGGCAAACGGGCACAATCGTTCCGCTGGAAAATATTCCCGTTAACGAAGTATGTTGTGTTGTTTTTCGCCATTTCATTACGCAGAAGTCCAAAAAGTTTTTGCGAAAAAAAGATTTTCTGTAGGGACTTTTTACCTGTGGGATATTTTACTTTTCGGACTTTTCACTTATACTTTTCAGACTTCTTACTTTTACTTTTCGACAATTCGTTCATCTATGTGAGTTTTAGGCGACTTACTCCAGCTCCATCATTTCTCATTCGCAGCTGAAGCCGCAGCATCCAACTTCTACAAGCAACCAACGTTAGATGTTTTCAACGAGCACTTCCCATAAGTCCATCGTATTTTAACTCACGTATAATTCCTATTCAGTGCGCTTTCGATGCCAAATGAATCGTCAAATTGTAATACAGATTTTTTTTTAGTGAGCAAAAATTGGCCACAGTTAGCTGAACCGTTCCATGTTCCTGACGTTCGTTATTCGTATAATAATTATTTGCAGCTCGTGCTACTTTATACCAGCAACACGCTATTCAGAATGCAAGTACATCGTCTTCAGGACGCCATATGCCCAAAGCTTCTACTGCAGCTACTGATCCGGCGGAGCAATACAAACGTGAATTGCAACTACAAATTGAACAAAATAGGCGCCGTAAAGAGGAAGAACGTCAACGTGAACTGGAGATTGAGCGGAAGGAAATGGAGAAGTAATTTTGCTCTCATTTGTATTCGAAAATACACGAGGGAGACGTAGACGTTTTCATTATTATTATTGTTATCTTTATTATTATTATTATTAATTATTATTATTATGGAACAATAAGACTATGTTATTATTACGGAAAACTCGGCTTCGATGAGAGGAACCAGTGAAAGCTCACTTAAAGATGCATAATTTTTGCCGCGGTTCTGCTCCTCCTTTCATAAAAAAATTTTTTTACTTACATAGTTTGTCTCTTATGCTTCGAAATTCTTGCGGTTTTCTCTTCATTTTGCACATTGCTTAAAGGCATTTTTGTTAGAAAAATTAGAAAGCTTTAAAATTTTGCATTTTTCAAAATCAAATGCTTAGAGTAATTCGTGTTTTGTTTTTAACTTTTAAGAAGCTTGTTTTCGATATGAAATTAAGCAAAGAGCGTTAGGGTGGGATTTTAAGCTTTTTTTTTT